GTCCGCAACAGTCTTCCAAGCGATAAATACACAAGGATTTAGAATTTAAATGTCAATTTGCAAATGACGATTTAGATATTAGGAGTAGGTATTTTAGTCTGGTCAGTGTTAGACGAACGACTAGTCAACCGACCTTGTGATGGGGAAGCGACTCGTACAATGAAGTTTATCTGAGTGCGAGATTGCCAACACCAAATTACCAGTCATCAGACTGATGTTATCGGCCGGGCTCCCGGGCTTAGGCTGAATTTTTGAGGCCCTGAAAAGGGCTTATAGAGAAACAGATAGGTGGTTGAGTGGCTGTACACTTCATATGACGCTTGTTTGAAGGTCGCACACGTGACAGTTACTTTTATGACACGTGTTATGTAACACAGACTTACAACAGAATTCGTCTAATACCAACCAAACAGTGGGAACTAAATGTTCAGAATAGTTATTTCTGTTGAGGTGGATCGTGAGAACTGTATCTGTTGAGAGTTGTGTTGATGAACATGCTAAGTGAATTCTTCTGGTTGTCGGCGAAATTCAATTCATCATTGGACATATGAAAACTTTGGCAGAAACATCCAATCGTGCACAAGACCATCAGGACAAAGTACTAAGCCATATGTGGAGAAAATCGCACAGCTCACTTCTTTCTGAATTCTGTGCTGATGATGTTGTCTAGAATGACAATGAAGGCTTCACGATCGACTAGACCACACAGTTCAGGGAACATATTGTCAGCAAAATGGAACTTTGTATTACTTCATAACGGTTCAAGTTGGCGTCAGTATGATAAATAAAGAAGTAAAGCAGAAGGTTGTGAGAAGTGAACGAATAGGAATTTGATAGTAATGGGAACTTGTATGACGATTAAGATGAAGATGATGTGTGAACACATTTGCACTATTGAAATGTATCGACTTGAGGGATAATCACCTAGAGTGTTTAACTCTCGGTTTCTGTCTTCACGTGGACCTCAACGTGGAAGTATATACTTCACTATTCGACTGAGACCAGCATTCAAATACTTCGTGAACTGATGCCACTTTGTAACCCGGTCACCTCTAATCTTTTTCCAGTCTTCACCTATCATTGTGAGAAGTGGCTGACGGTGACTAGACATACCTAACACTTATCCCAGCCATCTCAGTCGATGTAGGTTCGCCACCTCTATGTCAAACTGTTTTTAACCTTACTTGTACGTTATTCACATGGTGACCCTACGACACATGATGCATGCTAGACAGGTGGCAGTTGTCGAATACATGAAGACGTTTTATGTCATCTACATTGAATGGTTATGTTTCACAGGTGTGTAGGAGAAGAGAGCGAAGTTCAGAGTTGTACACTCAGCCCTCAATAGACAATGGGATATAATGTTGGTGTGAAGAATGGTGCCAGTTGGCGAAAGCTTGTCCAGTCTTTTGTAAGCGTCCCGGTTTCTCGGGGTTTTCCGGTCTTCTAGAGCCCTTTTGACTGCCTATGTTATTGAAGCTTTCAACGCGCCCTGCTGAAGTGTTCTCATTGGTCGGCTACGTTTTGTGTTGCTGGCTGAAGTTCGTTGCTGTTGAGTTTTGTTTATTGGTGTGTCTACCTGGTGTAATATGCTTCCTCGTGTTGAAGTGATAATTTTAGATTGGAGTCGTCTGTTTGTTCTCGTTCCGCTTTACCCTTTTACCGATGTCGGAGAATTTACTTTGAGCTCAGGCATATGGTCTTGGTGTATTGTATGTTCTCTGAGCAGGGTTGTTCAACCGTAGATCTGACATAATCTTTCTGGACGACATAGTTAACTCTACCTTCACTATTAAGTGAGCTGTCGATATCTTTCCACGATTGGGAGAGATATTAACGGCTCTTTTCATACTGAAGTTCATACTGATCATGTTGTCTAAAAAGGTGATGAATTCTTTAAGATTAAACAATCTAGTTCAGAGAACACAATGCAGTCATTTCTTTGCCCCTGACGGATGGTAGGATGTATGCTATTTTGTCCATCTAGAGTTATGTTACATTATGTACTGGGTATTTAAGTGTTCAGTTCTGAATTCGTGTTTTTAAGTCATATTTCAATATTTCTTAGGCTCTTTGATGTATTAGTGTTTTCATAGATCTAAGGAACTGTGCTATAGTTGAGGAAATGATTTTTAAAAACACTTTTTTCTGGCATGCTATTATGAAGCCTAATTTTCTATTGAAATTATAACTTGGTGAGTAACTAGATTGATATATTGTATACAGAATGCATAAAACTAGATGATAAACTGACTGATGAAAAGTGAATTTTCCAAAACTTAATTAGTTTCAATGCCTAGTGGTTAGAATGACTGTGTATAATTGAAGATGTGTGCTGTATAAGATTGAAGTAGAATGTTTCAGCAGGCCGGTTGGCCTGTGTTGATCCTTTGAGAAGATATCTCTGTGAAGATCTAGTTTCTCTTTGAACGCGTTGACAGAAGGTGCTGATACTACTTGCTGAGGTAAGGAGTTCCAGGCGTTGACAACAAGATGGGAGAAACGCAGATTCACGCTAAGTTGATTCGATCGTGGTTTTAGAATTTTCTTGTGATGCCCTCGGAGATAGTCAGTCCTAGCAAGGGAGAAAAGATAGGACATATCACTACCAAAGTCATTATTAGGGATACGAAATGCCAGTATGAGATCACCCCGTCTTCTACGGTAAGACTGTGAGAATAAATCTAGCTGATCTAGTCATTCTTCAGAGGACAGATTCGAAAGGCCTACCACAAGCTTAGTACCTACCCTTTGTTGTCGATGAAATCAGCTTGATGCTAAATATTACATGAAAATAGATGAGCTTAGAGTTTATGTACTTCTTCTCAGTGTTGAAAGGCTAAAATAATAAATGGGATTCTGTGTAAAAGATATTTTTCCACATCAAATGACATCAGCTGATGTCTCATTAAATTTTATGCGGAAAATATCATGTTATAGTTTGCTTGGTGACTACCACTGGAATCCATTATGCTCATTTCGACCTGTTTTGGGAGTGGTCAGTTGTATTTACCCACACTTCAGTCAGTGGTGTTGCTCCCACGGAGACCTGAACTCAGTGCAGATCATTTTAAACGTCAAAGTGTCATCCACTAATTTCTGTGAAAAAAAGACACCACTCACTGAAGTGAATGTATATTCAGGTGAAGAGTGGTAAACAGGACGAAATGGGTGTTCTTGATACTTTTATAATTCATCAACTAGACCATAACATAATGAATGTTTAAGAAGTAATGAGGTGTCTGCACAGACGTCATCTACTAACAGATTTCGAAAATTCGACCAAGTGTATCAACGAGAAATTACAAGTGTAAAAGAAAAATATACTATCATACGTTGAAAGTTCTTTAACAGTTCATCTTACTGACTCAAGTAGCCGAATGCTTCTTATTCTTGTGATTAGCCTATCTGCAGTGAAACATCTCGTCAATATGGAATAGTCTATGTTTCTTTTAACATGTTGTGATGTTCTGCTTCATATGATGGATATCTTTCTTCCACTTTTAAGAGTATTCTCACTTCTTGACATTTCGTTATTTACTAACGCATTGACTTTGCTACAATCATCAAAAGTGAGAAATTGCCAAATTAAGTTTTTCTTTTGTTTTTAATGAGGCAACATCAATTCTAGAATTGATAATGGGTAATGATTGAAGATGTAATGATAATTTGGGCTACCTTAAGATTCGTACCAGCGACCACTGGGTTTCTGGCCCTCTGATCTCCCAATTGAGTTCTGAGATCTGGTTATTGACTAGATTTTTACTTAACTTCAATCGCAAGCGGGTTTTTGCCCGACTGCTATGTGAATTCGTTACACTATACTATCACTTGATCATATTCACACTGACTGCTGCCCAGTCTAGACTTCTCATTCATATCCAAATGTGCTGGAATTAGAACGGTGGGGAGTATCATACTCAGTTGGTGATTCTTTTTAAGTTAGAATGATTTTATTCAGGTTTCGTACTCTAGATTCTGTCCTTAAGTTACATGATTGTGATCTTATGGTCTTTGGTTGCGAATTCCTGTGAATCTGTGTTAAACAGAGGATCCTGTAAACATTTTTATCAAATGTATTAAAATATTATTACTGTGAATACATTAAGCACATTTAGAAGAAATATCAAAGTATCAAGATTCTCAACTCCAATTTGTCTAATCGTGTGCATACATATTGGATTGTTACCTTCAGTTGAAGGATCCTCTTGTAATGCTGCAAGATGCGAGCCAACAGTTTCCAGCTGTAATCATTATTTTCATCAGTATCTCTCTTCATTGATTAACGTTGTCGCACATAAGCTAATTAACAAGTAATCACATAGTAATGATGGATAATGGCTAGCAATAGAATCCAGTATAAGCATGTCGTCCTATTTGGGACTCGTCAGCTGAGTGATGTTCTTCTCACAGGGTTTCGCACTCAGGACAGATCGTTTCAAACGCCGGAAGGTTATTCACTAAACCACTGAGCTACGATAGCCACTTCTTGTGCAATGCGTATACTTTTAGTATTATTACTTGTATTATACGGCCGTTGATTGGACCGAATTGATCCGTCTCTATTGGAATATGAGCTCCTGTGCGGATGCCTCCATATTGCCTGTTTTAACTCTATTTAGTAATGATGGATAATGGATATAATATAAGCAATAATACTAAAACTATACCCGTCGTACAAGAAGTGGCTATCGTGGCTCGGTGGTCAAGTGGATAATGCTGTGGCGTTTGAAACAATCGGTCCCGAGTTCGAATCCTAGTGGGAATAGCATCACTCACTAGGAGGCAGGTATATACAGCTGTTAGTCATCTTTAGCTAATATCCATCATTAATCTATAGAATTAAAACACAGGCAATATCAAAGCACCCTCATAAGAGCTCATATATCAATAGAGACCGATCAATTTGATCCAATCAACGACGGTATGATACAAGCGATAATATTAACAAGTAATCATGTTAACTTCTTTTTTTTTTTCATTTTTATATATTTTAGTTCCTCTAAACCACAGAATAAAAAATTATTCGCTGTTCCCTATACCCTTGTACAATTTCCCATTGATGTTGAGAATAATAATTATGGTAATATTGATAATGTTAATCATGAAATGAATTCTCCTAATACAATATTGGACTCACCTATATCATTATCAACAGAAACTAAGCAATGGTCAGATGGAAAATTTTCATATGATTTTGAAGATAGAAAATCCATATTATATACTCAGAATGATGTAGTAAGTTAGTGTAGAACATTTTTTTGTTGTTGAAATGTTTTTTTTTAATCTTTGAAGGACTTTAAAGTTGATTACATGATAGACATTTATTATTTATTTTCATAATGATATATAGGAAAAGAGTTTCAAGTGTAGACTACATCGTATTTGGAACTCATCAACTGGGTTGCCTACACTTTGGTGGATATTTCAGCTTCTACTGGAACTGGTACTAAGCACCTCGATGTATGCAAATAACGAATTCTAAAGAGAATGGAACATTTTTCACTTGTGTGCAATATTCCGTATTGATTTTATATGTCCGTAAGAGACATCGATTAATAAAGATCATTTATTTTACGTTGGAATTCATTATGGACTGACATCAGTTAGAGGAACGTTGGAAACCTGAGAGCATTACTCAGCTGCTTCATCCTAATGTGGGACACCTCAATAGTGCGGACCCATGACCCCCACAAACCTCCATATAGAATTAATCTAGCTCTCATTGATGACTAGCTTCGAGAGGCAATTCCCGAACATCCAATGAGAAGTCGTCACCAATAGAGTCAATCAAGTCGAACATGAGGACGGTTACTCAGCGACGATATTGGATGTAGGTCAAGCTTTATCGTGAGCTGACAGAAGTAGGAAATGTTGACCAGTGGATCGTGACCTAGTGACTCAACGGTAACGTGCTGGCCACGGAACTTGAGGGTCCTGGGTTTGATCCCTGGCTGGGTGGGGCGTTGGTTGTGCACTGCTGAGGAGTCCCATACTAGGACGAAACAGCTATCCAGTGTATCTCCAAGTGATATCAGTCCATGATGAATCCTAACACATGTTTAGTAATCGATGTCTCCCATAGACAGACAAAATCAATGCGGAACATCGGACATAAGTGCATCAGAGATAAACTTATCACACTTCGCAGTAGCATCCAAAGAACGGGTGGATAGAAAATGACCAATTTCAAAGCAGACAAAGGTATATGAAGGGAGGTGTAAAGATAAAGGTTAGTTCAAATATTCAAGCATCAGAAGACATCAAAAACTAAATACATCTGCGCAACTGTGATTGATTTTCATTCATATTACCAAGACTTCTCAACCACTGTTTCTTTTCATCTCAGGGACTCCAGTGAGACAGTTCACATCTCTCTACACTAATCAGACCAACTGTTAGAGACTTCATTCATTAGTGCCACATCTCTGTTTGGCCACCCTTGGCACTTTTTCAACCTAGTCCAACTTCTAACATTTCACGTCAAGGTATATGGTAGTTGAGTATGCGCTACACATCTCCAAGTCTATCTCAGTCAATGAAAGTTAGCAACCTCATCGATCAACTTACCTTCTTTGTCTAGTATCCTTCGTCTAACTTTTACACTACTTACATGTACAGAAAACATTCATTGGGTCAATCAGTCAGTAGAAAATAAACTTTGCCTAACAATTCATAAGCATCTTTAATTTGAGAAGCGTCAGGCTATCAAGTAGAATGAGTTTCTGTTTCATAACTTTCACAATGAAACGTTTTGAATAATAATTTTAGTTCAGTTTACTTCAACTAAGATATAGAATCGGATTCATTACCAATGTGATATAAAATTCGTATCATTCAAAGTGTAAAATAGGCTTTTTTGTAAAGAAGAATTCTGTCTTACCTTCTTCTTTCTATCCTGATCAACTTATTATATAGCACGTACTACTCCTTTGGCTTTCAAATGTGAGTGATATAACCTGGTTATATATATATATATATATATATATATATATATATATATGGGTATAAAAAGCTGAGGAATAGCCTTCATATTCCTCGGAAAAATAGAAAAGGTGGTAAAATGACAGGTTTATTGGATATTTATATGCCTTTCTGGAAACTTCGAAGCAAAATGATTGACCCTGAAAGGTTCCATGGATTTCAGGTGTCTAACAACGATCTAGGTAATCTTAGTACACATTATATAGAATAAGTTTATTTCGCATAATACACAGTGAAACTGTATCATTTACTAGATGACATTTTGGTTATAATTTATTACTCACAATCATGTATTTTTGAGATGAATGGGGATTTTCAAAAATTCTTAAAAATCCCCATTCATCTCAAAAATACATTACTGTGTAGTGCTCATTATTCACTTGCTTCCAGATGGGTATCACGAAGCTCTAATGAGAAGACGTAACCTGTGGGGTCAACCAGTTGGAAGTGAAGTGGATGCTAACTGAAAACTTTGGGTGATAGTCGCGCTATATCGTGAATTGACAGAAGTTGGATATTGTGAACCACTGGAAACCGACCCAGTGGCTGAAAGGTTAACGCGTTCACGGTGAAAACTGAAGGTCCTGAGTTCGGTCCCTGCCCAGTTGGGGTCGTGGGTGCTTACTGCCGAGGATACCCATACTAGGACGAAACAGCTGTCTAGTGCTCCCAGATTTTCAATGGTTCCCCAACTGATATCAGTCCATGATGAATACTCACAGTTATGTCAAATTAACCTAATGTCTATCGTTTCCAGATAATCATATATCCTTTCCGAAACTCGAAAGTATTCCAGTTATTGTGATTTTCTAACTAAACCTGATTTGTTTTTATTTTTTGTTGTTATCTAGTCTAGTGATAAACCACATCAAGGTGGACATAATGGACCATTTTTATCAACAACTACCTTGGAAGTCCTCCGTCTAATAGGTGAGTAGTTTAATTACTACAGAAAAGGTTAGATGATGAGCAGCTAACTGGATAAATCTTCAGTTTGACGAAATGGTTACTTAGCTGTCTTTCGTCACTTATAACGATTGACTTTTTCATTGTAATTGTACAGTCTACTTATATACTAAATAAGTAGGCTGGCTACGATTGTATGGCAATGCAAAAGCCAACTGAATTACTCGGTAATTTGTTCCAAAATAGTATGGATTCCCGCAAGATCTACTCCATGTCACCCTCGCCTCGGACACCTAACTCGACGTTTCCTCTTTGGATTCCACTCGACGGCCTGGCCTGACGCGTGATGTCCCCAGTCAGCCTTCTCAGTGTATGCACAATCCAATCCATCTCCACTTTCTTCCTCTACATATTCGTTGGGTGATAGGTTCTCGGTTGGTTGGTTGGTTGGTTGGTTGGTTCTTTACCAGCCAGAGTTCCTTGTTGCTCATTCTTATTATTCTCACCATCTGATCTCATCTTCAGTATGGAGTGAGGGTGGGAGGCAGTTGTTGATGTGATGTATGTCTGCAGTCTGTTGGAAATGCTTTTCGTAACGCGCAAAGTCTCTCAACCATCACATAGAAGCACTGACTTACTTGATTGGATTGGTGTTGGAAATGTGGATGTTGTTCACGCTGTATGCTGAGTGGAGTGCAGTAGATCTCGACACTGATTATTTCAGATTGATGCAGGAAGGCGGGTCTTGCTGTCTTTCCGATCGTGGCTGTCTTTGACATCCTCATCTGTATCTGTGATGCATGTAGTTGAAAAGATGGCGCTTGTCTAGGTAGGTGAAAGAGACTGCTTCCCTTAAGTTTCTACCATTGATGATGATTGGTGTTTGTTTGTTGGTTGGTTAAATATCTTCATCACCTCTGTCTTGTCTATATTCACTGGAAGTGCCGTCTTCGTTGCCTCTTCTGTCAACTTGTTAGTTTTTGCCTGTAGATCTTCGAGTTTGTGCGACGCTAGATATAAATCATCAGCGAAATCCAAATCTTCTTCTGCGGTCTTTTCATCGGTCCAGTTAGCGTATGCCCATCTCGTTTCTCATTCATTCAAAGTTTCAGGTTAACTTAGAAAGATTAGCGCTATACTCGAATCCTAATAATCGAGAAATATTAGATTCTCTAAAATAATATCATATTTCAATTAAAAAACTTATCAAGATATCCATCCATGTTTTGGTTAGTTCAATTAATTTATGCGTAAGATAGAAAGTGGAGAATAAAGTTTACTTATCCTTCAATGACTAATCAAACATCTGTTAAGAAGAAATTATTATGTGTTTGTTTTCAAATCCATATTATTGGTAGTCATATGATCATTGATACAACTTTTAGGTTATTTAGGTTTATGGTACTGATGGGCAGTGACTAGCAGTGGAATCCAGGATTCGCATTTTGTCCTATTTGGGACTCGTCATGTAGATGTAATTGCCTCCCAGTGAGTAATGTTGTTGCCACCGGGATTCGGACTCGCGAGCGATCGCTTCAAATGCCAGAGCATTAGCCACAACATCACCGAGCCACTATAGCCACTTCTTGTGAGATGGGTATAGTTTTAGTGTTATTACTTGAATCCCGGTGGGAACAACATTACTCATTGGGTAACAGGTACATCCAGCTAACGAGTCCCAAACAGGACGAAATGCGCATCCTGGATCCCACTACTAGCCACTGCCCATCATTACTATATATAACTGAAACACAGGCAATATCGAGACATCCGCACAATAGTCCATATGCCAACAGAGACTGATCAGTTTGGTCCACTCAACGACGGTGTCATACAAACAATAACACTATTTAGGTTTAATATAGAATACCAGTTTATTTATGAAAAGAAGTAAAACAAGTTTTACTGACTAATCTAAGAATTCAAAGGACATATACCACTTGTAGGCCTTACTTCTAGAGGTGTTATCATCGAGATTTAAACATTGAACTTATTTCCTGAAGTATCCTAAGAGATAAATACAGAAATTTCTTGAGAGTGATCTTTATTTATTTATCAACGACTGAAATGAATTGGAGAAGAAATGAAACCATCTAGAGAATTGTACATCTACTTTATGCTAGTTCTTACCCATAAACCACTAAATTATCGAACCTATAACCGTGAGTTAATCTGGTCAATGCGTTGACCTTCAGCTACTTGGTTCGAATCCATATATCCACTTTTTTTCATACTTCAATTGATTGGTAATATAACGTAACCTTCATTGGATGTTATCAGTGGATATTAGCTTCATTTACAACTTCTTAATAGAACTTGGAGAAATACTTCTCGAACCAAGCTATCAATCAGTACTGGATAGTAGTTTTATTTCTTAGTTCATAGGGTTGGTTGATATGGGGAATGTGTGATAAGAACTATTGATAAATTAATCATTCCCTAAAACTGAGAAATTAACATTTTGTCTACTAGAATAGAAAAAAGTGTAGCCTTACTCTTTATGGCTCAAAATGTTTTCTGACTGACTGTAAACCCTGAATATTACCTGAAGGTTGAATGGTAACTATTTTACTGTGGTTACATTTTTGTATACATAATAATTATGCTAAGTGATTAGTGTTTTATGAATTTCGCCGATGATTTATGTTTAATGTCGCACAAACTCGAAGATCTACAGGCGAAAACTAACAAGTTGACAGAAGAGATTGGGCAGCAAACACGAAACTTCAAGTAAATGTCCAGAAGACTGAAGTGATGAAGATACCCAACCAACAACACCATCAACAACAAGCACCAATCAAAATGAAAGGAGGAAACCTAAACCAAGTTGTCTCTCCCACCTACCGTGGCAAGGCGCCATCTTTTCAACTACATGCATCACAGATACAGATGAGGATGTCAAAGACAGCCACGATCGGAAAGACAGCAAGACCCGCCTTCCTGCATCAATCTGAAATAATCAGTGTCGAGATCTACTGCACTCCACTCAGCATACAGCGTGAACAACATCCACATTTCCAACACCAATCCAATCAAGTAAGTCAGTGCTTCTATGTGATGGTTGAGAGACTTTGCGCGTTACGAAAAGCATTTCCAACAGACTGCAGACATACATCACATCAACAACTGCCTCCCACCCTCACTCCATACTGAAGATGAGATCAGATGGTGAGAATAATAAGAATGAGCAACAAGGAACTCTGGCTGGTAAAGAACCAACCAACCAACCAACCAACCAACCGAGAACCTATCACCCAACGAATATGTAGAGGAAGAAAGTGGAGATGGATTGGATTGTGCATACACTGAGAAGGCTGACTGGGGACATCACACGTGAGGCTAGGCCGTCGAGTGGAATCCAAAGGGGAAATGACGAGTTGGGCGTCCGAATTGAGGGTGACATAGAGGAGATGGTGTGAGAAAAGATGAAAGCTTGTAGGCAGTTGTGGTGCCAGTTTCAAAAGACTTCAGAGAGGAGAGTGTAATGCCAGCCCTATGTTCAAATAGGAACCCAAGGGGAAAAAAAATAATAATATAACAACTAGCGGAAGTTAATTCCATTATTGTTTATTTATTAGATGTATTACACAGTGGTTTATTACTCTTAACTGGATTACATTTCAGATACAATTTATTTGACACAGCTGAAGAGTTAGGCTTGAATGAGACAAGACAAGCGAGTCATGAATCCTACTTACTGTTAACCATTATATTTCAATAATATAAATGTCTGATTCATTCATAAAATCAATGTAGAACTTCATACATAGGTGTATCAGTTCAAGTTGCCGAATTCTACGCTAGTAATATAAAGAATAGGTGAATATAGATTAATAATGGCTAGAAAATAAACTACTCAATCCAATCACTAACTATTCATTCAATGTTACTGAGAAAGTCTACACTACTTGGTTTTATAGATTCTTTGAGAAGTGATTATAAAAAGTTGTAGATAATATAGCTCAGAGTAGATCTACTTTTCTTTTTTTAAAAATCATTCAATGATTGATTAGCAATTTTTGTCATGAAATGTTTTGGTTAGGCTTTTTTTTTTTCTTTTCATCATTTTAACTAACTTCTATTACTTTGATTTTATTTCTATGCCTATTGTATGGTATATCATCTAATATCAGGTCGGTATTTACAAATGATGCGACTTTTAAAACCAATTGCTGGTGAAGTAATGCATTGTCTATGTCAAGTATTTGATTACTACTTGTACTCGGTAAGTATAAACTGACTGTTTTTATATGATATATGTTGTGTGTTTTTTTTTTTAATGTCCCATTGAGTATTCTGTTGGCATTGGGTTCGCCAATATCCCCAATCATTATTCATTATTTTTGGATACTTGAAAAAATATGGCTTTACGAATATGTAATCCTGCATCTAAGATATGATGGTGATATGTGGATGACATATTTATCATTGTCTTGAAATTGGAACATATCGACAATTCCTTCATACATATAAACTCAGTCAATGGTCACAATGTAATTTATTTATGAGGTAGAAAATGAACAAGAAGAATTACCTATGTTGGATTGCAGGATAAAACGAAGGATAGATGGTGGTTTGGATACTATTGTCTACAGAAACAGACATATTCCAACTAATATCTAGACTTCAAGTTATCTCATCCGATGTCAGTCAATTAAGGCAGGATTAGTCAAATATCTTAATGAAAGCGCTAAAATACTTACTAGTCAGTTCAAGGACCTGAATAAGGGACTGAAGCAAACAAAAGAAGCCCCAATAGTTAATAGTTATTTTCTGCCGTTTATTAAGAAATTCCTACGAACACGTAAGAAACGAAAAGATAACAGTAACGTGAGTATGACTAATAACAACACAAGTGGAAAGGAGTTCACAGCCTTCATTGTGTTACCCTATAAGGAATGTACATCAGAAAATTTAGGTAGGATCATTAATGAAGCTGGAATTAGGGCGACATTTAGTAAACCTACAAATTAACTCAGAGATAAGCTTTATCGGCTGGCTTAAGGACCCGATAGAAGGAATTAAGCAAAATAATGTAAATTATCAAATTCCATGTAATGACTACGAGGCCAAATACACACATCCAACACGCCCATTGGGGTTAATCGCAATAGCCAAACATATGAATTTAATCAAATGTGGAATAACAGACCTCGACAAGATCAATAATCTGGAAAAATGCTTGGCTATTGCAATGCATGCATTAACATACAATCACATAATAGGTTGGGGGATAAAACCACTCTACTTAAGAGTCTACATCCAACACATGTAACTCATATCGAAAGTAATTTGATTACATCGATATGATTATGAGTAATGATAATTTATGCTCGAACCTTCGTCATCAAGTAAATACTACTGTATGACTGTGTGTTATGTATCTAATAAACAAATCTAATAAGGAATGGTTTATTTTTGATTCGGTCTTGTGGATTACTTAAAGCATGCTGGTTGTTGACAGTTCCCGGCTGTTTATGCTGTGGCAAACAAGTAGTTCCTGACGTACCTGAAAAATAATGGATTGTACGTGATTGAATAGCTCAAGTGACATTTTGCAAGTTTGAGTTTTTGGTTATTTACTTTCGAAACCAACTGTGAATCTGTGTTTCAGGCATTGGCATGCTGCATGGTGACAGGAATGTGTTACTTTTGAGGCCTACTCTTTCTCATCCCCTCTTCCCTTCCCATAGGGAAGACAGTATTAGCATGACACTACTGGTCATCCAAGGGAAACACCCCATCCAGTCTGTAGTACAACTTCACCCACAGACCTCGATCATAGTGTAGTAATTTACACTATTTTGGTAGCTGCTTTTCGTATTACTAATATCCAACAGACTTTTCCAAAATCGTAGAATCTCAAGCAAACATATACAAGCTCGATCACCACTTAAGTTTAGCTGCTGTCGATCAGGCACCGGTTCCAACGCCATGTAGAATTATGGTCGTACATTTCTCAGAACCTTAAAGTCTCTTGTCAAACGCGTTAGCTATCCATCTACTGCACCTGCCAGTTAGCGAATAACATGAATATTCGCTTTATTTCCTCGATTTCTCTACCAACTTAGACTGCAACTACATCAAGCAAGTTGTGGCGGGAATTTAATGTAACACTAAATACTTCACTGGGAAGAAGAACCCACTTATTTATCAATACAGACAGTAGTCACCGTAATATGGTGACAGAAAGGTAAGGTAACTCTACAACTTTCAGACATAGTTTATGCCTTCCTAGTTCCTTCTCCTCCTTTTTAATATTTATTTATTTATTATTCCCCTGGGTTCCTAGTGGAACATAGGGCTTCAGTAGCACGCCTCCATTACACTCTCCTCTCTGAAGTCTTTTGAAACTGGCACCACAACTGCCTACAAGCTTTCATCTTTTCTCACACCATCTCCTCTATGTCACCCTCAATTCGGACGCCCAACTCATCATTTCCCCTTTGGATTCCACTCAACGGCCTGGCCTGACGCGTGATGTCCCCAGTCAGCCTTCTCAGTGTATGCACAATCCAATCCATCTCCACTTTCTTCCTCTACATATTCGTTGGGTGATAGGTTCTCGGTTGGTTGGTTGGTTGGTTCTTTACCAGCCAGAGTTCCTTGTTGCTCGTTCTTATTATTCTGGCCATCTGATCTCATCTTCAGTATGGAGTGAGGGTGGGAGGCAGTTGTTGATGTGATGTATGTCTGAAGTCTGTTGGAAATGCTTTTCGTAATGCGCAAAGTCTCTCAACCATCACATAGAAGCACTGACTTACTTGATTGGATTGGTGTTGGAAATGTGGATGTTGTTCACGCTTTGTGCTGAGTGGAGTGCAGTAGATCTCCACAGTGATTATTTCAGATTGATGCAGGAAGGCGGGTCTTGCTGTCTTTCCGATCGTGGCTGTCTTTGACATTCTCATCTGTGCTGCCACCGCCGCCAGTAGTTGAAACGATGCTGCGTTGCCACGGTAGGTGGAAGAGACAACTTGGTTTATGTTTCCTCCTTTCATGTTGATTGGTGCTTGTTGTTTATGGTGTTGTTGGTTTGGTATCTTCATCACCTCAGTCTTCTCTACATTCACTTGAAGTCCCTTTTTAATAGGAGTAGTAAAAGTTCTCAGGTATCTGAAACCGGTTCTGAATCATTCTTATTGCTTGTACTTGGTGTTGATTCGTTCAACATTGATTCTGTTTCCAATCGTTCCTTCCAATCAACTTAGTTTTTTGGGACTGTCACTCTATCCTATTCTATTTTATGGTTGTATATACAATTACATGTGTAGCTAACCATAGGTAAATTTCCCTTTATATTTTATATCTTTCTGTGATCATGTAAACTTAATTAGCCTACGTTCTTGTGGCCAGAAAGGCTAATTGACACTGGTCGACCAATTTAATTGTATAATCATTTCAAAGGATTTAGTAAACTAAATTATTTTGCCTTAATGGATCACTAGGATCCCTCACCTAACATTTGAAGCTCTTTCCTTCGTAAATGAGTTTTTTATGCTTCAAGGTCAATGTAATCCCATGGTTATTGAGTATCCTGTGTAGCATTTATAAGGTGGTGACTTGCTAGTATGGTATATATCATGATTACGGAATCTTTGTTAATCGAGTCAACATCAAATATATGCGATAGGAAATATTTAGAACTTGTTCGGTGTACTGGGGAATTTCTACTACTCTTATCATCACAAAGGTAGGGAGGAGACTAGAACCATATTTCAGAGTAATGACGTTGTAGACATCTGGATTAAAAGTTAACCGGATAGAACTGAATACTTCAATTCAGAGGTTTTTGAGGAGGTCATGTTGTATTGCAAACTCACAGAAGTAGGAAAATGTGAACCAGTGAATGCCCGACCCAGTTGTTCAATGGGAACATATTTTCCGCGGAACGCGAAGTTTTTGAGTTTGAAGGCTTGTGGGTGCGAACTACTAAGGAGTCCTATCCTAAGACGAAACAGCTATCCACTGATCCCAGTCTATAATGAGTACCGACTAGGATTGAGTGGATTGACCATCGGGTAAACAGTTTATCAAGGAAATATATTCACAAAATCCCGATAAAGTAGGAAAGTGATTTCTTAACGTTTCACAACCTTATGGAACCCGATTCTTCAGTCAACAAAACCTGTACAAGTAATCATATGTTCTTATGGCAGAAAGAAAACAAGTCAGAGCAGGATTTTTATGCATAAACACAAACACAACAAGATGGGAGAAAAATATGACTGTCATCTGTTACTACTGCATGAGGTTCAAGGTGAAGATGTGAATTTCTGTACATATGTGAATGGGTGTGAATGAGTGGGAGAAAACCAATGTGAATGAAAATTGAGTTTGTTCATGTGTGTATGTACTTTAGTCATACTTAGTGTTTATCATTTGACTATCAGAGATAGCCGTAGTTTGACAGACTAGTATTAATATTGGATGATGCTTGAAGGTGAAATGAAAATTTGGACCGCTGCCGGACATCGCAGCTCAGTTGGTTGAACATCGGGCCGGGAACCCCTGGTGGTCCCTGGTTCGAGTCCGGCCGCGGTCCAAATTTTCATTTCACCTTCAATCATCATCCAATCTACATAGTTAGTGTGTTATTTTGTATACACAATCGAAGTTTGTTGCACAGTTTAACCTTCATTTCGAGTAACTTTACAGGCTATCCTAGCAACTAATAAGGTGGACAGTCAGATTCCTTTATTTTATAGAAAAATAATTTCCTAGGCGGAATGCTGAAACCTGATTGGTCATTTTAACAGTTTACTAGGGTGGCCTATAAAGTCAATCTTCATTTCCATTGTTGATTCCATTAGGATTCAACATACTATGAGATATTTCAGCTACCCAACCATCTTTCTTTGGAGTTTGAAAATCCTTTTTTGAACATTTTTCACATTTTTATGTCATTTTCTTCTCTACAAAAGGTTTAATTTGTTTATTCTCCTTTCCTGAAGGATTTTTTGGAGGCTGTTTTGTGTAGCTTACACGCTGCTTCTTATGAATGAAAATTTTACCGGACGATTCCCTCGATACAATAGGCATCATTTGTAGTTACCATTCTGTCCGAAAGTATAGGGAATTAGCTCTTTCATGTAAACTAAAGCATTTCCAGTGAGTTTCATACAATTAGTTCCTTCTATGAATTTTTTGAAATGTAAGAACAACGAACATTGTGAGATGAATCAAATTCATTTCGTCTACTCTAAATCTTTCACTTCTGCGTAC